TTTTCTTTCGCGCTTTCTCACATACTCTCACTTCAAATAAAAGTATATATGAGTTCTATTAAATACGTTTGAGGCTTCTCATGGAGGTTGTTTTTTTCAAAACTCCATGAGCCACCTATTATCTAAAACACTAAAAATGATCAAAAGGAAAAGAAAAGAATGTACTATGGGAACAAACATTTTGGTCACGAGAGAAATTACTTGAGGTACATATACATTTACGTATACATTTACGTATACTTTTATATTCACGAGAGAACATTTTGGGAATGTGGAATTAATTGATTACTTAAGGTTACATTTTATGTCGTTTGCACCAAAGTGTGAGGTTTCTTAATTAGTTCGATTATAACAGTCAACTTTTCAGCTAGAATTGTACAAATATGCAGGGTGGGGGACGGAAAATGAATTAAAATCATCTACCATATGTATATATAGTCTCTTCAGTCAACATCTAAAATCAAAGAAGAAAGGACCACTTTAGAAGTGAGATATGAAATAAATGAGGGAACGTAATTCATGTGATCGTCCTTATAACTTGCAACAACCATAAGTCAGATACTATATACCAAATGTTTCTTATTATAGTCAAACTCAATCAACTTATCTACATACATAAACATCAATTAGTAGATAGATATGTTAAACATTATAATTCATTAGACAATGAATATTATTTGTCTCTCACTTTCAAATAACCATCACGTCGTTCGCAGGTCTTGACTCTCCTTCTTTATCTCCAGATGTATTTCAGTTTGTTCCTTTAAATATTGTAATAGACTATGTTCTCCTCAAGACGCTTATGCACTCAGTGACACCCCCGGTTTTGGACAGTTATATCATAATTTGGATTTTATAATATTTTCAAAAACATTCCTTAATGAATTGTCGCTTCCGTATTTATTGTTTAAAATATTTTTGCGGTATTGGATTATTGGGTTGAGGCTGGCCTAGTTCCACGGTAGGCGCATCACGACGGGTCGAGTTTTGGATCGTGACACCTATCACCTGGGCCTCGTCATAGCTAGGCACGATGCTGGTGTTACCTCGTCATATGTAATGAGTAAAAACTTTCCCCTTTAGCTTCGAGAGTGAAGAACATGCCACAGCAAACATAAATTTCTACCGCTGGAAAATAAGGATAAATGATTTTCCAATTCAAGATGTGTATATTAAACCTATTCATTGCATAAGATGATATGAATATATATAAAGGCACACAAAGAAAGTTGAGCTAGCGAATAGAGCAATCTGTGAATTTTAATCTGATCTGCTGAAAAAGGGAAAGTCCTATAGTACCAGCCTATATATTCATCAAATGATTGGCTAAATCAAGATGGAATTATAGTGTGCTTATGTTATTGCATTATTCTTTTTCTTTTTCTTTTTGAGTGGGAAAATATCATGTAGTCTCTATAGTCCTAAGTCTTTTTCATCTTTTACATTTAATGGCCAAAACAACACAGAGAGACGTTGACAATAGTAATAAAGAAGCATCACCAACTATAAGTACCTGGTCCTGCTAGATATATATAGACCCACAAGAGAAATACGTTGCGATCTTTTCTCCATGTTTCTCCTGTTTAAGCAATTTGGTGACTAATTGGACAATTAATTCAACCCAAGTTTTGTACTAAGAAAGGATCATTTCAAATGAATAAAGAGATTTTAGGGGTACTAGTTGACGGATACCAAACGTAAAGGACCATTTGTAGAATTAGCGTCGAAATTTTGCTGTCAATATCAAAATTTATCATGTTACATTTTCCTTGTATGTTGTATGCCTGAAATACGAATAGGATACCATACCAATCCGAAAGNAAATCCCACTCAAACCCCTTAAGCATATGAATTTTAATTTTATATATCGATAATATAAAGAATTTTTATTCCATTGACAGCCTAAAAGATAACTATAAATAATCACCCATAATAAATTAGATTAATTAATACGTAAAAAATAAGGTATGTGGTATGATATCTTGTGATCTATGAGTCCAAGCATATTCAATATATAGGGTATATGGCTAAGTTTATAAGCTGGTTAAACTGGCTTATAAGCACCTTTTGGCTTTTCTACGCATTCAAAGTGCTAATAAGTTAAGTGTTTGTAAGCTTGTAATGACCCCACCGGTCGTTTTGAGCATTTACATTCCGTTCAGCTGTTTGAAATTATGAATAGCTTAATATGATGTATTATGACTGGTGGGAATCATCGGTCTGGTTTTCAAGTGATTCAGGATTAATCTGGAATAATGATTCTCATCTTAGAAGCTTTAATTTGGAAGAGTTTATCAAGTTTGACTTTTGTGTCTTGACTTCGGATCAAAGTTTTGATAGTTCATCCAGGTCCGGATGATAGCTTTAGACTTTTGCGTATATCCCGATTTGCATTTTGGATGCTTTTTGAAGGTTTTGGCCAAAATTGGCGAAAGTTGGCAATTTGAAAGTTTGGAATGTTCATAAGTTTTACCTTGAATTAACTTTGATGATGTCGAGTTCGGATTATTGCTCCGGAAATTGGAATAGGTTCGCTATGTTATTTAAAATTTGTGTGCAAAATTTGAGGTCATTCCGGGTTGATTTGATATGGATTGACATGAGTTTTAGGAGTTGAAAGTTCAAAAGTTTATTAACTTTGATGTAAGGTGTGATTTTGTCATTTGATATTGTTATACGTGATTTGAGGCCATGAGTAGGTCCATATTATGTTATGGGACTTGTTTGTATGTTCGGACAAGGTCCCGAGGGGCTCGAGCGAGTTCGGACGTATTTCAAATCATTTCTTCTCATGTTTGCATTGTTGATTGTTGGTGTTTTAGTTGTTCTTCGCGATCGCGAGGATGAGGCCATAATCGCGAAGTGATTTGTCACACCCCAACCTAGGTGAGGCGTGGCTGACACTCTATGTCATACTGGCCCGAGCGAACCACTTTGCAACTCTTGAATGCTGGACGTAACCCAAAACATACATAGGCTAACATGGCCGCAACTCGTAATATATCATAGGCAGCCAAGCATCACATCAGCTAGCCATCATACTCAAAACATCAATACATGTTCGGGCTGAGGAGGCCACTATGAGTATTAATACCGGACAACCTAGAAAGAAAACATAAATGAGGGTCGACAATGCCACAAAATACTATGCATACCAAACCTGTGTCTACAAAGCCTCTAAGAATATCTGACATCAAAATATCATCGGGACAGGGCCCCGGCCTACCCGTAAGTCTATAACAAAATCTGATATCATGACCTCTAGTCTCGGCTATACTCTGGAAGAGATGGAGTCTTACCAATTTCCCGCTGAATATTAATCATGTCTACTTTGAGAGCTCGTCAAATTGATTACTTGCACCTGCAGACATGAAGTGCAGCATCCCAGCAATGGGACGTTAGTACAATGAGATGTACCAAGTATGTAAGGCAGAAACAATACATATAAAAAATTTCTGAAAACTGAAAAACATGAATGAATACAAAAATAGTCTGCTTAATGATAAGAATAAGAGTGATCTTACCGCGTACTGTAGATCGACTTACTAGATCGCTATCATTTGGACTACTTGGTCCTTCAATCTGACTGAAAAAATCAACCTTTCATAAGATTCTGAACTGTTTATATCAACTAATGCTTAGTGATCTCTTGTTTTATCGTCGTTGTTACTTGTTATAAGAATATAATGTGGTTCTTACGCGTAGGAAGGTAGACTATCTGTAAGGCGCACTACAACATTACTATCTGGTGGCACGTACGTGTAGCCATGCAGACCGTCTGTACGACTCAAAATATTTGGGCCGGACTATACGTACACGTGGGACTGTCCATAGCCAACCCTTATGTTACCTATATGTTTTATAGACCGTCCATAGGGCACATACTTATTGTATACGGTAAAATCGGAGGATCCAATTTTCCATCCTTATAACGTCTCGAAGGCTCGAAATCACGGTCGAGTTTCATCCCTCGAGGGCCATCGACGCTCGACTTCGGGGCAGTATGAGACCGATGATTACGGAAAGAAAGTGGGGAGTTCTCAAGGCGTGAAGCTAGAACCGACAAAGTCTGTCATGCTAGTCTGAGCCCGTATCATGGCACTAACTAGTTGTCCCGTCGCCATATCTTTGTAATAAATGCATTTGTACTATGTTGAGATTCCCCCTCTTATATAAAGGGGATCCTTGTCATTTTGTAAATATCTGTTGCTCCATATCAAATACACAAGAACATTCTCTATGCTCTCTAACATATTCTCTTGATCTCATTACTTCATTTATTGCTCGTATTTATTGCGTTCTACTAAAAGTTCATCATTTATTGATTATTATTGGCCATAAAGAGCCGTCATTGATTTATTTGTAACTTTTAGTCTCCATCGACCACCTTCGATAGCTCCCAGCTGAGCTCAAGACACGACCCCGAGGCCCTCGAATAGGCAAGCTCGAGGCCCCGATTGACAGCGATTCGGTTTGATTAACATCTCATTTTTAAGCTCTTATCTCGTTTCTAAGTCTTTCACGTAGCATCAACTGCCTAAAAACTAGCGTAAAAATAGATCACGTACTTTTAGAACCATTAAATCAAATTTAATTATCATTACCATTTTCACGGTAAACAATTTGGCGCCCACCGTGGGGCTAAATATAATAGTGATTATTTTCTTGCTGGTTTAACTATATAACGCAAGTTATCTTTCACGTTTTTTCTTGCCCAAAATCTTTGATTTCATGTCAAAATGTCTGGCTCAGTGAACAACAATCTTGAGAATCACGGAGAAAATGGTGTGGATGTTCCAGGTGTTGGTGTACCACCACGAAACCCTGAGAACGCATCAGAACCGATTCCCGCTGACGCGGTCTCACGCGATGCTCAACACATCGATGTAAGCTCCCACACTAACAAGAGCGTGCACCAAGGAGACCAACAAGAAGCTAAGGAAACCCCGGCTAGGGAAGAACGAGAGGTTAGCCTTCACGTTATTTTTGAAATGCTACAGGCACAATAGCTAGCGATTGCTCAGCTGCAAAGTCACCAGAAAACTCCCAGCACGGTAACGCCGGGGACGGCTTCCCTAGCCGAGCAGGTACCAGAGAAGTCAAGCAACAACGGGTGGGTAGCCGACCCCTCCATCGTAAAGATGCTTGAGGAACTCACAAAGAGGATCGAATAAGGCGAGAAGAAGATAGAAGCCAACAACAAAAAGGTCGAGACCTACAACAATAGGGTCGACCAAATTCCGGGTGCACCCTCGATCCTGAAAGGTGTGGATTCGAATAAGTTCATACAAAGGCCCTTCCCTGATGAAGCGGCTCCATAACCCATTCCAAAGAAGTTCAGAATGCCAGACCTTCCAAAATACAACGGGACCTTAGACCCTAATGAGCACGTTACTGCTTACACTTGCGCAGTGAAGGGCAACGATCTAAAGGACGACGAGATCCAGTCCATATTACTAAAGAAGTTCCGGTAAACACTCTCGAATGGGGCCATGATGTGGTATCATAACCTAACTCCTAACTCCATAGACTCATTTTCCATGCTGACGGATTCTTTCATAAAGGCACATGCCGGTGCCATCAAAGTAGCAACAAGGAAGTCTGACGTCTTCAAGATCAAGTAGAGGGAGAACGAGATGATGTGAGAATTCATATCTCGTTTTTAAATGGAACGAATGGAACTACCACCAGTCTCCAATGACTGGGTAGTACAGGCCTTCACTAAAGGTCTGAATGACTGAAGCTCGGTGGCTTTAAAGCAACTGAAATAGAACCTGGTCGAATATCCCGCCGTGACCTGGTCGGACGTTCACAACCGATATCAATCAAAAATTAGGGTCGAGGAGGACCAATAGGAGTCCTCGGGCTTTGTATACCCAAGAAGGCTTCTAGCGAAGGAGCCAAAGCCAATCAAGGAAAGGTACCAGCCATACATCGACGACAGTAGAAACTCCCTAAGGCGTAACATACCCCGCAATGATCGAAGGATGGACCAAGGCCAGAACCCTCGGGGATTCGTCAACAGAGCTGGATTCGACAGGAACACGGGGCCAACGGAGGCACCTCACTTGTCAGAGTACAACTTCAACATAGATGTATCAGACATCGTGTTCGCCATCATTAAAATCATAGATGCTAGGTGGCCCAGGCCTATGCAATCAGATCCTTCGCAAAGAAATCATAACTTAGTGTGTGAATTTCACAACACGCACGGCCACAAGACCGAGGATTGCCACCAGCTCCGAGAGGAAGTAGCCAGACTACTCAGTAAAGGACACCTCTGAGAGTTCCTCAGTGATCGGTCCATAACCCAGTACGGGGAAAGAGAGGCGGCCAAGAAGAACGAAACGAATGAGCTACAACATGTCATCCACATGATCTTGGGAGGCATCAATGCCCCACAAGAGCCCATGGTGAGAAGAACAAAAATATCCATCACCAGAGAAAAGTGAACTCGGGATTACATACCCGAGGGTGCCCTCACATTTAACGACGAGGACATCGATACCTTGTCTCAGCCCCACAACAACGCACTGGTAATCTCTTTTCTTGTAAATACATTTTAGATTAAACGTGTACTTGTGGATCCAGGCAGCTCGGCCAATATTATCAGGTCGAGGGTGGTAGAGCAGCTCAGATTGCTTGACCAAATCGTACCTGCCTCTTGAGTCCTAAACGGATTCAACATGGCGAGCAAAACAACAAAAGGGGAAATCACCCTTCCAGTAAACGTGGCCGGCACAACCCAAAATGCCAAATTCCATATCATCGAGGGAGACATGAGGTACAACGCCTTTCTCAGAAGGCCGTGGATACATTGCATGAGAGCAGTACCATCCACCCTCCATCAAATGATGAAATTTCCCACAAAGATGGGATTAAGACCGTCTACGGGGAGCATCATGCGACGAGAGAAATGTTCGCGGTACACGAGGTGGCCCCGACACCGGTACCTCCACCTTCGAAGGAGCCGAAGGATAAGAAAATAGTAAAAAATCAATAACAAACTACACTCTCGACTATCCCCGACTAAGCAAAGCAAGGGACCGTACCGCATCCTCATCATAGGCGACTGAAACATATCAGGGGTCGAAACATCGCCGACACATTCTACACTAAGGTATAATTGTATCCTCTCTCTTTCAATTATATTCTACATTGATTTGAGTGCAGGTATCCGATCGAAATGGCCAAAGCACTCTCAAACTCGAAGGCCTCAGGTTTCAAAAAGCATGTGTTGCACTCTTTTCCTTCGACCGGGTTTTTATCCCAAAAAAGGGTTTTACCGGCAAGGTATTTAACGAGGCAACATCTATATGCTACCTAAGGAAGATCCAACAAGTATTCAAGGCTTCTTTTGCAATCAACCTCAAATACTGGGGTCCATCCCCCCGGAAGGTCACCTACTCGGAAAAACGAAGATATGCCAAACGAGGGCTCAATAGAAAGTAATGTACCGGGCCAAACAGTCGAATGAACCATGTCTGCGTAGAACAACCGAGCCCACAACAGCAAAAATATGTATACTTGTACCAAGTAATCAAAGAATACTTCCTAAAAGCATTTTGCATTTCAAGGAAGCTTGATATTTTTGCAAAGAACGGCTCCAATGCCGAAAGGCCCCGAACACTCGGGGACTAGCGTCAACAACTCAAAATAATGTGACCCCCGGGTCAGAGCTCCTAACTCATAAGCCCTCAATGAGGCAACATCAAGATCACAAAGTGGTTCTAGGGCCAAAAACGTCCCGAACACTCGGGGACTGGCCTCGAAAACTCAAGCCTACACGACCCCCAGGTTGGAAACTCCAAAATATCAAGCCCTCAATGAGGCAATACCAAGTTCATAAGTAATGGCTCCCGAGCCAAGAAACCCTCGATAACTCAGGGATTGCCGTCAACCACCATCTCTATCGACTAATCAAAACCCGAGGCCATAAGACCACATACGGGCAGCCTCGGTATTATAAGACCTATATAAGGCAACAACAATATTTGTAAGACCTCAAAGCCATGTAAAACTTGTAAGACCTTACTAAAGGCATAAACACGATCTCAAAGTTTTGGCTATATATCGAACTCATAAGACCACTAAAAAGGCATACCCTCGATATAGACGCCGAAACTACTTTACTCAGGACTTAAAGGCTTCGGCCAAACACAAATGACTCTGACCACAAGTCGGTACCAGCCAAACTAATGCGAATCAGAGACGCCCGACCATCGCTATAAATCACAGGCCTTCAATTACTTCAAATATACTTCGAAAAGAACCGGTTAAATAGGCTACACTCGACATAGGCAAAAACGCTTCGACCACATCAGCTCCTAAACACTGGCTTCAAGATACTCAACCTCTGAGCCAAACCTCCCGAGGTGCTCGATTTTTGCCATATAACGACTCACAATCGAGGTTTTTTTAAACCATCGAAGAGTCGGGCAAACATTATTTCAAAAAGTCCTTAATGAGGGAAAATTAAAGCCTATATTAGAGGTCACATCGACTCAAGGCGTAAGAGCCACTATCGTAAGAGCCACTGTCGCCAACCCATATATATTAAATGTCGCATCGACCCAAGGCGTAAGAGCCACTATCGCCAGCACACATACATAAAAGGTCGTATCGACACAACGCGTAAGAGCCTAAGAGCCAGCTTGCAATTCAAAAACTTGAGAGTCAAATGAGCTCGAGTCGAAACCCGATGCGGATACTGAACCCAAAACAGTTAACTGAATATGCCTAAGAGCAAAATTGTAAGAGCTCAAACGTCGGCTTACACTAAAAGGTCGCATCGACCAAAAGCGTAAAAGCCACTGTCGCCAGCCTAAAATTCAACAACTTGAGGGTCAAATGAGCTCGAGTCGATACCCGACTCGGGGACTGAGCCCAAAATAGTTAACCTAAATATGTCTAAGAGCAAAAGCGTAAGAGCCATTGTCGCTAGCTTATACGTAAAGGTCGCATTGATCAAGCGCGTAAGAGCCTACGGGCCAGCCTAGTGAGCCCCAGGGCCATACCACGAATCTAAGGATTCCCCTCAACTCAAAGACCAGTTCATCTGGATAAAATCAAGGAAAAAGAAATGCAGGAGAAACAAAACCGCGAGGTTTCCTCTTTATACATACATGCGGAAAAATGCAAGCTCCATTTACAAACGTGCTTTGAAAATGCTATACATAGAATCAAAAAGTAAAATCTACATCCCTCCTGGGGCTATGGCCCGTCAGCCTCATCTTCACTATCCTTGGCGTTGGACAGAAGTAACCGAGCACCATGCTCGTCGGCCCTCGCCCGCGTCAACTCTTTCGAGAGGTCAAAACCTTTAGCACGGATCTCCGCAAGGGTTTTCCTTTGAGACTTACACCGAGCATATTCTTTGCTCTTATCTTTGCAGTCAAGGATCTTTCTCAACTCAGCTTGAGCATCAGCAACATCCTTCAAATAGACCGCCGCTTTCTGGTCAGCCTTAGTTCGGCTCATTATAGCTTCAGCCCGGGCATCCACAACCTCGGCCTTTATCTTCAAGAGCTCAGACTCGAGCTTCGTAATCATATCTGTTCAAACCAAGCTATTAACATGAGCTAAGCGAAGTTGAACCTCAAGGGTGGAAGCTTTAGCCAGAGCACCCTTCTCCATCGAGGCCTGAGCATCCTGAGCTTTTAACTCATCATACTTATGCTTGGCTCGGCCAACCTCATCCCAAAGGCGCTCCAAGGACTTCGTCTTTTTCTGCAATTGAAATAAACGAAACGTTAGACTCAGGAGCTAGAAGGAGAAACACACACTCACTCAGAACAAAAACAACATGCTCCTTCAAGTAGCTCTCATAATTCGAGCTTCGACTCGCCTCATACCCCTGGCCTCACGGCGAAGCAGCTCAGGATTAAGCTTGTCAAAGGCCTGGAAAAGAAAACTCAGTAAGGAAGGGAAGGCACTAAACTCGAAAGGCCTGTGCCAAAACTCACCATAGAGTGAATTCGTTATGCTTCCTCGAAGGTCGAGCGCACATCTGCTAACCTAGCTCCCTAAAATCGAAAAGAGTCAACCCCGGTCGGGACACGGTTGCTCGGTGCATATGACCCCGGGTTTTGAGTATAAGGAGAAACCTCCTTTTCAAAACCAAAAATCATGGGCGCAGCTAGCTCAGTC